ATAAATAGAGGAGGCCGGACGTGGTGGTGACTCAGCTTGGGGGAGAGGCCTGGGGGTGAGTGAGGCTGTGATGCAGTGGTAACCATTGCAGGCTCTGGAAGCAGAGGAGCTATTTGGAAGAGAGGGAGACTAGTGTGAAGTGCCTGTGGGTTACCAGGTTCTAGCCTATCTTCTTTCTTGGTTTAGTTCACAGTGTGCTTGCGTCGGGAAGGGCAGACTGTGTACCAGCAAGTCCTGTCCGTGGAGCGCCCAAGTGTCTTGCGCAGCTGGAACTGGGGCCTGTGTGGGTTCTTTGCATTCTACCATGCCCTCTATCCCCGAGCCTGGACTGTCTATCAGCTTCCTGGCCAGAATGTCACCCTCACCTGCCGCCAGATCACACCCATCTTGCCCCATGACTACCAGGTGAGATTCCCTCTCTGTGTTTCCTCCATTGTCCTCCCTTCCCTGGGATCTGTCTCTTGGAAATTCCATGACCTGTGAAAGGGGTTGGAGCATGAACATCATACTGGTTTTCCAGGACCACTGCCCAACTGGTCTTCTGTCTCCTGGTAGATAGCCTGCCTGGGAATATGGGGAGATGCTAGTGAAAATCAAGAATATTTTGGGAGGCCCGGGCAGTGTGGCTCAGTAAGTTCAGCATCAGCCCATGCAGCAGGAGTTCACTGGTTTGATTCCCGGTCAGGGCACATACCTGGGTTGCAGGCTTGGTCCCCGGTAGGGGGCATGCAGGAGGCAGCCGATTGATGTTTCTCTCTTATCAATGGTTCTATCTCTCTCCCTCTCCTCTCCTCTCTCTCAATTAAAAAAAACAACTACTTTTTAAAAAAGAATATATTGGGAGTATTTGAGTCAGGTCCTTGGTACGAGGCTTGATCATGGGGAGTGGGCCCAGGAGGAGCCACACTGGGACCATCTGAGTCTGATCTCTTGTTCCCAGGACAGCAGTCTGCCTGTAGGAGTCTTTGTGTGGGATGTGGAAAATGAAGGTGATGAAGCCCTGGATGTGTCCATCATGTTCTCCATGCGGAATGGACTGGGAGGTGGGGACGATGCTTCAGGGGGTTTGTGGAATGAACCCTTCTGTCTGGAGCGTAATGGGGAGACCATTCGGGGGCTGCTGCTGCATCATCCAACCCTTCCAAATCCCTACACGATGGCTGTGGCTGCACGACTCACGGTACGGAGCCGCCTGTCCTATACTATACCTTAACCTGGAACCCCTACTCCCAACCAGCCCCAGAGCCCACCCCATTCCACCGTGGTCTCTTCATTTCCTAGACTCCTGAGTCCCACTCTCACCACAGCCCATAAGCCTGTGGAACTTGGAGGAGGTGGGAATATGTAACAGGAGCTTGAGCAGTTTGAAGCCAGCATTCTTTGGAGCTTCCCTTCACAGCTTTTGGCCCTTTAACAGGCAGACACGACGGTAACCCACATCACAGCTTTTGACCCTGACGGCACTGGGCAGCAGGTGTGGCAGGATCTACTTCAGGATGGACAGCTGGACTCCCCCGCTGGTGATGGGGGGGTCTAACAGGGAGGTGGTGGGAAAAGAGATTGTCCCTGTCTTGAGAGCAGGGTGGGAGGCCTGGTAATGAATTGGCCTTGCTCCCGTCTTAGGGATCCTTGGGGATGAAGGAGGTGTCTGTGCTGATTCCTCTGTGCTTCTCTCAGGTCGAAGCACCCTCTCGCAGAAAGGGGTAGGCATCGCTGGGGCTGTGTGTGTTACGAGTAAGCTGCCACCTCGAGGCCGGTGCCGCCTGGAGTTCTCACTGGCCTGGGACATGCCCAGAATCATGTTTGGAGCTCAGGGCCAGGTCTACTACAGGTGAGGGGACAGAGAATAGGGATCCAAGGTGGTAGGGTGTGACCTGGAGCCCATGTTCTTACCCCTCCCCTTTCTTCTCACCCCAGGCGATACACAAGGTTCTTTGGCTCAGATGGTGATGCAGCACCCGCCCTTAGTCACTATGCACTGTGCCAATACGCAGGCTGGGAAGAGAGGATCTCAGCTTGGCAGAGCCCAGTACTGGATGACAGGTGTCAATGGGGCCATCTCTTCCCTTCCTCCCAGGCACTCACACTCCAATTGGGGCTCCTTAATTCACTCTCCACCCACCAAAGTCAGCAGAGTATAGCTGGGATTCACTTGGTGCCCCCACTCAACTGAACCCCAGAGTCCTTCCTTTCCTGGGAGGTCCACACTTATTAGACCACTCCCTCCTGACTCCCCAGATCCCTGCCTGCCTGGTACAAATCTGCACTCTTCAATGAACTCTACTTCCTGGCTGATGGAGGCACAGTATGGCTGGAAGTTCCTGAGGACTCCCTACCAGAGGAGCTGGGAGGGAACATGTGTCAGCTCCGCCCCCTCCTCACGGAGTATGGTCGATTTGGCTACCTTGAAGGTATGGGCTGCTGGTGGCCATAGTATGGCAGGCCGTATCTGTGAGGCCAGTTAGTGCCCTACCACCAGGCAGGGCGGTGAGTGTTGCCTGCCCAGGTCATTGGTTGGGATGAGGGGTAACTGGCAGGTATAGAGTGTGACAGTGCCCCACCCCCAACTCCAGAGGACAAGCTAGGTAGGGAGGGGAACATGAAGAGGAATTCTGGCAACAGTGTGTATCCCTCCTTCCTCCAGGCCAGGAATATCGCATGTACAACACATATGATGTCCACTTCTACGCTTCCTTCGCCCTCATCATGCTATGGCCCAAACTCGAGCTCAGCCTGCAGTATGACATGGGTGAGGGTCTCTTTTGTGCCTCTTCTGCCCCCTTAGCTTCTCCTGACCCCTGAACCTTTGTGGTCCCTCACATTGTCTTTTCCCCCCAACATAACCTATACCCTATTTACTGGTTTCCTTCTGGGGTTACACACAGCTCTACACCACCCCAAGACTGCCCATTCTCCCCCCACCCCCCCACAACTTGTATGTTTGCTCCCCCAGCTCTGGCCACACTTGGGGAAGACCTGACATGGCGACGGTACCTGATGAGTGGGGTAATGGCACCTGTGAAAAGGAGGAATGTCATCCCCCATGATATTGGGGACCCAGGTAAAAGTCCTTCCACCTCAAGGTCAGCTTCCCTCCCTCTTCCCTACCACCAACGCAAATAAACCAGGTTCCCTTCCCTCCTGCAGATGACGAGCCATGGCTCCGGGTCAATGCGTATGTGATCCATGATACTGCTGACTGGAAAGACCTGAATTTGAAGTTTGTGCTGCAGGTTTATCGGGACTATTACCTGACAGGGGACCAGGGCTTCCTGAGGGACATGTGGCCTGTGTGTCTGGTAAGGGATGCATGTACAGGGGCATGACTGGTGTTTGGGGAGAGATAGCTGGCTGTCTTTCCTTAGTATCTAGGTCTGCACTCTCTTGGTCCCTCTCTAGGCCGTGATGGAGTCTGAAATGAAGTTTGACAAGGACCAAGATGGACTCATTGAAAATGGAGGCTATGCAGACCAGACCTATGATGCTTGGGTCACCACAGGCCCCAGGTTGGGGGAAGGGGATTTACAGGGGACCTGAGATGGCAACTAAGCACTAAGGGACTGTGGGCTCAAGGAAGGGTGACTCATTGCCTGTTATATAGCATGGGAATGGCTGGAGCTGCCAAGTCTGACCCCTAAACCCATTTTCCTGATCAGTGCTTATTGTGGAGGACTGTGGCTGGCAGCTGTGGCTATGATGGTCCAGATGGCTGCTCTGTGTGGGACACAGGACATTCAAGATAAGTTTTCTTCCATCCTTAGCCGGGGCCAGCAAGCCTATGAGAGACTGCTATGGAATGGTGAGTTGGAGGATTCCTAAGGAGTCTTAAGGCAGCTGTGGGAACACAAAGAGACTTACTTTTGCCCTTCCTCCACTCCAGGCCGCTATTACAACTATGATTGCAGCTCTCGGCCCCAGTCCTGTAGCATCATGTCTGACCAGTGTGCTGGCCAGTGGTTCCTGAGGGCTAGTGGCCTAGGAGAAGGAGAAACTGAGGTGAGAGAGACTAGGAGGAGGAACCAGGTGGGTTTTTCTTGGAAGAAGCAAGTTTAAGAGACTGTTTCTGCCTTTGCCCCTCTAGGTATTTCCTACCCAACACGTGGTTCGTGCTCTCCAAACTATCTTTGAATTCAATGTCCAGGCCTTTGCAGGAGGGACCATGGGGGCTGTGAATGGGATGCAGCCCCAGGGTGTCCCTGATAGATCCAGTGTCCAGTCTGATGAAGTCTGGGTGGGCGTGGTCTATGGGCTGGCAGCCACCATGATCCAGGAGGTAATGCACTGCCTTCCCCATCTCTCCCCCGTCTGTCTCATGGCCCAGCACTTCCTCAGCCCTCAGTTATTTGTACTGCCTAACCCATGCCATCTTATTCACCTAGAAAGCCTCCCTCTTTCCCCTGGCATGCATTCCATCTCCTGCCTTCAGTCATCTGCCTGTGGGTTAAATTTATCTCCCCCGTTAGCTGGGAACTGCCTGAGGGCAGAGACCCCATTGCCTCCATCTGTCCAGTTAAAGAGACTATTCAGGGGGTGCCAACTAATGTGACTGCCATCTCTCCCTACAGGGCCTGACTTGCGAGGGCTTCCAGACAGCTGAAGGCTGCTACCGTACTGTGTGGGAGCGCCTGGGCCTGGGCTTCCAGACCCCGGAGGCATACTGCCAAAAGCGAGTGTTCCGCTCTCTGGCCTACATGCGGCCACTGAGCATCTGGGCCATGCAGCTGGCCCTGCAGCAGCAGCATAAAAAGGCTGAGTTCCAAACATCCAGGGCACAGGACTAAGCACAGGGTCTAAACTCGGACCAAAGGAAGTCATGGCAAACCTAAGTCCAGAGTGAGCCCCCTGAACTATGGGAGGGAGGCACTAACATAAATCCCACATGGCATTTGCTCTTCCCTATCCCCCGTCTTCTGCAACCCTGAGCCACTAGGACAATCATGCTCCCCTCCCCTTCTCCCCACCAACTCACACCAGTAAAGGGGTCGAGGGTAACCCAGGCATCAGAATCACTTACTTATTTATTTCCTCATCCCATCCCCTCACTGCATGAAATGTTCAAGGTCAATTGATTCCCCCAGGTCCATTCATGGGGTGATAGACATACATGGGTACAAATAAAAGACCCAGAAAGATGGTAAGTGTGGTGTGTTTGAGCCCTAAGGCATCCTGACGGGGCACAGATGCTAAAACTAGCCTTCTCGTATTCCTTTTCATTTGGCCTCCCATCTAGCCTGAGTATCTGCCCTGCAAGATAACAGATATGGGGCTGTGGGCAGGGAGCCATTCCCCTTCTCTTGTGAGATTTGCATGCAGGAGAACGATGGGACCCAGGGAGGCGAACTTTGAAAAGGGATCAGGGAGTGGCAACTTCAGGGGAGGTTCTGTGCCAGGAGCCTGAGGCATGTGGGAGGGCAGGCAGCAAGAGTTGCCAGGAGCCTGGAGCTCATGGTCTGAGCTATCCTTTGGTTCCTCCGACTGCAGGACAGACAGCTCCAGCTGATGAGGGAGGGCACGAAGCTGGCGGGATAATACTGAGAAGAAAAAGACTCTTTAGAAGCAGGCCAGGCTTCTCCCACTAGTTCACCCATAATACTATCTTCAAGCCCCTCACCTCCATGCTCAGCTGGCAGGCTCCCCCTGGTGCCAGAGGAGTACATAGCAGGTACAAGGGCGAGACAGAAGGAGAACAGTAGGACCTGGAACACAAGAAAAGGAAATGATGAAGAGCTCTGGATTGCACCCATCCCTGCACCTGGGAGAAGGATCTCTCCTTCCATCACCATCCTTACCAGGACACAGGTGCTGCTGCTGCTGCTGGTTTTGTTAGATATCTCAATCACCATGGCCTGGAGTCTCCTCAACTGATCCAGGAGGGACCTAGAAGAAGAGGGGACAGTGAGCAGCCCTATCCTGGCACCCTGAGATACAATGAAACCTTTCTGTTAAGGCCACCCCTCCATCTGTGCACTAGAGCCTCTAAAAATTTAAATTTGCCCTAACCGGTTTGGCTCAGTGGATGGAGCATCGGCCTGTGGACTGAAAGGTCCCGGGTTCGATTCCAGTCAAGGGCATGTACCTTGGTTTCGGGCACATCCCCAGTAGGAGGTGTGCAGGAGGCAGCTGGTCGATGTTTCTCTCTCATCGATGTTTCTAACTCTCTATCCCTCTCCCGTCCTCTCTGTAAAAAATCAATAAAATATATTTTTTAAAAAATTTTAAATTTAATAACATGTATACCTCCTGTATACATGAGAGAGACCTAGAAACAGAGTAATTCTCTTTATGTCCTATTTTTACAAATGACTTCCTCCTCTCTGTGGACAAAATGCCTAAAGTTCCTCATTAAAACAAATACACACCTCTGCCCTGCCCTGACTTAAACTCCTTTGCAAATAGTCAGTGGTTCTACACTGCCTAATTAGCTACACACATAACCCTCACCAGGCAGTCTAGATTCTCTACCTCTGGCCCAACTCACCTATGTTAGGGTTCCAGCCAAACTGAACTACGCTGTGTTCTCTCCCTACAACGCTCCTCTCCTTCTATACCCCCACCCCAACTCCTAGAGTCCTATTATTAAATGTCATCTGCCCTATGAGGTCTTTCTTACTCTCTCTTTTTAAAAAATATATTCTTATTGATTTCAGAGAGGGGGAGAGAAACATCCATGATGAGAGAGAATCATTGACTGGCTGCCTTCTGCACGCCCCACACTGGGGGGTCGAACCCACAACCTGGGTATGTGCCCTGAACAGGAACTGAACTGTGACCTGGTTCATAGGTCAAAACTCAACCACTGAGCCACTTCAGCTGGGCTTTCTTGTCTTTCTTGATACTTAACTTATCCTTCGTTATGTGTGAATGTATTCCCCATTACTGTGAGCTTAGAATCAGAAACCAAATAAGGGCAAAGAATCAGGCCTTGCATGTAGGAGCTGCCCAGTTGGAAATCAAGTGTGGAGCAGGAAAAAAGAGACAGCAGCAGAGGGAGTGATGTTATAGAGAGGTGCTTACAGGTTCTGTTCCTCCAGGAGCTGTACTTTGTTCTGTAGCTCCAGATTCTGGGCTGTGTATTTCAAGACCCTGAGGGAACAACAGGGATGTGGGGATATGGCCTGGCTCCTCTCTTCAAAAACCTCCCACTTCCAACTACTTCTGTTCCCCCAACCCCAGAGTCCCTCTCCCGTCATACCTGCTCTCTAAACCCCCCACATACACCTTCTTCTTCCTGCGGCTCTCCTGAGCAGACTTTTTATTTCGAATCTTCCTCCGCACTCGTTTCAGAACTTGTTCCTCCATCTGAGAGAATGAATACAAGGAAAGGGGGTCTCAGACCAGAGTTGGAAGGTAACTGAGTTCAATCATCTTCCCGATGCAGGAATCCCTTCTACAGCCTCCCTTACCAATAGGCACTCTGGTTCTGACTGAATGCCTCCGAGGACCCGCTGTTAACACCCTCACAAGCCAGACCATTTTTAACAATTTTATTAATTAAAAATCTTCCTTATTCTGAGCCAACTCCTGCCTTCCACCCATTGCACTTACCTAATACCTACTCTCTGGGCCATATAGAACAAATTAATGGTCCTTAGCTATTTTAGGGCACTCAACATTTCCTAAGTTAAACTGGGCAAAAATTTACCTCATTTATCTCCTCAGAATGGACCACATCCTTTTAATATCTGGGCTCAAACCTGGACAGTAAGATGTGGTGTAGCCAGTGTAATGAAGAACAAGACAGGAACTGCCCTTCTAGAGGCAATACCTCTTAATATAGCCTCCAAACCCCATCCACCTTCTTAGTAACCATATCACAATGCTGATTCATGCTTTGAAGAAATTAAAATTTCTTAATCTTTGCCAGTAAATAATGATTTCATCACAGTATATCATGCTTGTGAAGCTGCCACTCATTCTTGCTATACTACTTAATCCAGCCTAAAAACTTAACTCTACCTTTCAGCTATAGATGGATTACCATGAAGCCAGTGAAGTCTAAGTGTCAGGACCCCTTGTTTGCAGTCCTTTCCAAGTCCCTATACTACTAACGCACTAATACTTTTGAATTCTTTCTTAAAGAGAACACACAAATTCGTGTAAGCCCCACAAAACCAGGATCTCCCCCTGCAGCTAGCATACTAACTACATCCCCCAGTTTCCTATTAACAGCAAATTTGCTAAATTTCTCACTTCAGTCCTTTTTCAAGTTACTGATAAAATTAACAGAACTGGCCTACTTGGGACTCACAACCCCCCTCCAGCCTTTACTCAACCGATGGAAGTCCTACCTTCGTGAGAGGCAGCGTTCCAGGCAGAGTAAGCCCCTCCTGCTCCAATAGCCGCTTTTCCTCATCTGTCAGGATCAGCCCAACAACCTCCTGGGGTTAGGAAAGGTGGGCAGCAGAGGAGCAAGGGGATGTCAGAGAGGAGGGAGGGATCCGGCCCCACCTCTGCAATGTGGGAACAATCCTCCTGAAACTCAAGTCCAGTACCTGCTCTTCCGGGTCCTCCACGTGCAGGGGAGTCATCTGGACCCCCTCTTTTCCACAGCTCCCACTATCTGCAAAAGGGAAAGTGAATAGCCAGGCCCTTGAGTCCTCTCCTTCCCCCCAAACTTCACTATTTCATGCTCACCTAGATCTATGGAAACATGTTCTTGGGAGAGAGAGTAGGTGTGGTCATGGTGGACAAGACAGGGATTAGAGTTGCTGAAAATGTTCAACGACGCTGGGGGGCTCGGCAGGGAGCGCAGGAAATCCTCGACGTCCCAATCGCTCAGTGCCTGCACGGGGTTCAAATGAACAGTCCTCGACCTATCACCACCCATGCCCCACGAACACCCCGGCCCGCGCCGACCGGCCTCAGAGCCCCCACCCACCTCAGAAAGCGGCAACTCCCAGTCCAGCGGAGCCTCCAAGACCTCATTGGGTGCCGCCCCCAAATCTCCGCTTTCCTCTAGCAGGAAGCCCAGCAGGTCCTGTTCACCCGGGTCAAACGCCAGCTCCATATGGGAAATCTACCGGGAAAAATGGACATAAACACAGGAGTTCAGCCCTCCACCTGGCCCCAACCCCGAATCCCAGGCACAACACCCACCGACTGTAAGCCGGCCCCACCTATCCGGTACTCCCTGTTCAGCCGGCTTTCCGCCTCCCAGTCTCGATTTTCCTCAGCTTCCAACACAGCGGAAGTGACGCAGGCCCCCGAGGCATTCTGGGAGTTGGAGTTCTCGGGAACGCGGAAGTGGCCTACGTGCGGCGCCACGTCCCGGGAGCTATGCAAATAAAGGGGACGTCCCTGCAGCCTCCTCACACCCTGAGGGCGGGCATTCTGCGCCCCCGGCTCCGCCTGCGCCCCGGGCTAAGGAAACGGAGGATCAGAGACTAAAGGGGAACTCGAGCGCAGTCGGAGCGTTTTTCCCCCGGGTTGCGCCGCACCCTCGCTTCCTGCCGGGAGTGGTGGCCCGTCTTCGGTGGGATCCCGAGCACCGAGAGCTGGGGCCAGAGCAGCTTCCTGCAGTCCCCGCAACCATAGAGCGCGGGCCCAGGGCGCCGCCCACGGGTGGGGGACGTTCCGGGGACGGAAGTGGCCCAGAGAGTGCCGAAGGGAGGGCGAGGCCGGATCTCGGGAGCCACCGGGAGAACGAGC